GGCTTGGCCATTACGACAGTCTCTCTCTCTTTCACTCTCTCCTTATTAGTCTGCTAGCTCTTCCTGGCTGAGTTAATTGCATGTGTGTGTGTTTGGCGAGCCCTGAGTTTTACTCCAGCCCTAATTAACCAGAGAAAAGAGAACGAGAGAAAAGAAAAATGTGTTCGAGTCGGAAAAGAGAGAGAGAAAGACCAAATAAATCACCCAGAACTTCTCTGAGTCAAGTGGAGATTCAAGAGAAAGTTCACCAAACGGTACTGAACTATAGCAGTGTCGGGGAGTGTTACAGCACAGTTAAAGGGATAGTGCACTCAAAAGTGAAAATGCTGTCATCATTCACTCACCCTTATGTTTTTCCAAACCTGTATGAGTTTCTTTCTTCAATAGTACAAAAAAGAATATGGGAAACCATACGTTGACGGTAGCCATCGACTCCCATTGTATTTTTTCCCCCAATGGACGTCAATGGGTGCCGTCAGATGTCTGGATAACAACATTCTTCAAAATATCTTTAGTTTTTCACAGAAGAAAGAAACTCGTACAGGTTTGGAACAACATGAGAGTGAGTAAATGATTTGAACTATCCCTTTAAGCTTCTCTTTTGAACAACTAGTTACACTACGAGCTATTAATGAAACATATCTACTACAATGAACATTATATTTTTAAGTATTATTTATTCTGCACAAAAACAATGATTATATTAGGGTGACAGCATAATATACAACTAATAAAACACTAATCAAAACATCCTAATTTACATATTTGAATAAAAACTGTGATAAGCAACTTAAAAAACAACATATTTCAGCATAAAGACAACCAGAATTTCCGAACCACTGAAGTTAACCATTGGAATGAATGAACAGATTCACTAAAATCTTGTATATTCCATTGCAATATTGTATTGTAATATATAGTGCCATTCATAAGTGAACATATTCATTTATTCAACACACACACACACACACACACACTTAAAGTTTTAAATGTGAAAAATTATATATATATATATATATATATATATATATATAAGTGTATATAATTTTTCACATTTAAAACTTTATAAAAAAATGTGAAATATATAGTGCAGAAATATTTTCTTATTTTCTATGTCTTTGTTATGAATTGAAAAGATTATAATGTCCGCAACACTGCTACTTACTCCCATATTTTAATAAAAAAGGCAACGTTTCGACCCTACTGGGTCTTCTTCAGGCAATAATTGCTTCTTTGTTATGAATTGCTCATAATCCTAAACTGAACAACACTGGTGTATTGCACTTTATGAGGTTGAGAGTGACAGTGCTTCGCCTCACCAGAGGAGGCGCTAGCAGCGCAGGAACTACAGGTGTTTCCATCATAATCAAGTCTTGCATCAGTCTGTATAATATTAATGGAGATCAGGGAGACCCCTAATGTTTTCCTTCATGTTTAAAGAGGCATCGGAGTGTGTGTCAGCTCCAGTCTCAGGAGAGTTACACCACTTCAGTCAGAGGCCTGTAAATTAGCCTCGACCAACGCATCAATACACTCGCTCTCACTGGCACACCACCAAACGCAGTAAATCATAAACCTAATGCCATACAGCGCCTGTTTGTGAGACTGAGAGAGAGAGACACTCACGTCTGCGTTCTCTAATTTAGTTGCGATCACTCGTCGGCCCTCCAAATGATCAAAAACTAATTCAGCCTCTGACTCACTGCCATTACCCAGCGCAGAAACATTCACCGATGATCGCTGGTTAGCCGGAGAGGATTTCCCCGGAGAGGTGTATGCCGAGTGTGTGCTGTGTGTTATCTATGATTATCTGTGTGGTAGCTATAGAGGCTTTTTTAATAAATGAACGTTTATGTGAGTGGCAGGCATAATTCTAAATAATAAAAACCCTTTGCAGAGCAATTCACTAAATGCACACACAAGAAAACAAACTGGAAATACCTTACTACTCATACTATTTCTGCAGTATGCATACTGTGAATTTTCTATTAATCCAAACCTAAGTAGTTGTTTGCGTAAATGTGCAGAATACAATATCCCCACAATGCAATTGGCATCTAATATATATATATATATATATATATATATATATATATATATATATATATATAGTACATTATTGTTTTCAAAATGCTAAAAGGACACTTTTTAAAATAAATATAGTTATTTCGTAAATTGGATTGGGTTTTTTTCCCCACCCTTTTCCCATTAAAATACAATTTTGAAAGATATTTAAAAAATAAACATGCAATTATTAATTACATAACATTTAAAGTTAATAATAAAAAATACATTTAAAAATGCTAATATATAAAGTGCCATTCATAAGCGAAAATTAACATGTAAAATATATATATATTAAATATATATATATATATATATATATATATATATATATATATATTAAAGTTCACCTCACCAATGTTTTTTGTAAAACTTGACAAAACTTTTAAAAATATATATTTATTTCTATATAATACATACAGAATGTACAACGTTTTATATTTAACTGCATAAAATATACTATTTAAATATATTTATATTAAAATTAAATTTCAATATTATATATATAATTGTATATATAATTTTTATATGTAAAACTTTATAAAAAAATATTACATATATAGTGCAGAAGGATTACTTATATGTAATGAGGTCATGTGATAATGCAGCATATTGTTTGAAATGTTTATTGTTATATGTTGCACTTTGTTTCACATGCAATTTATATAGTGTACTGCATATTGCACAGTAGTTTCCATTCCCAAAACACAGCCGGAGCGGGAAACGTAAAGCTAATGAGACACCTAGTGAGAGAGAACAAATATAAAAGCATAAAAGACTAGGAAAAAAGTGTGAACTTGGGAGACGTGTTCAAGGAGAGTGGGGATAAAAGGATCTGACGCTAAAGTCAGAGGATGAAAGAAAAACAAATAGGCATAAAAATGCCAAAAACAGAAACAAACAAGACATGCAGTAAAGACCGCACCAGTTCACATCTCAGTAGGAAGTTAGTCACAGTATCTCACAGCTCATTGGCCGAGCCCTGGCCCACACAGCCACCAATGGCATTCAAACACCCCGTTAGCCTCAGGTGAGTCTCATTAGCATGATTAATGAGCTCATTACTTATTAGCGACATACAGCTGAACATACAGCTTGTTCATTTACTCCATATCAGATATTCTGAAGCTCTCTTCCAAAAGAAACCGGCGCGTTCCCTGTTTCTCAAGATACAGGTGGAGGTGAACGCAGCCTAACCATGTTTTGACAAAATTATTATGCAAAATTGCATCTTTCGATGAGAAGACAATGTGAAGAGCTAAGACAGAATACGTTTAAATGGTGGATGGTGACTATATGTGATCACTTATTGAAAATGATTAATTAAAAACACACTTTTACACAATTTGTCTGTACTATATTTATTCTAATTAAAGTATGCTGTTAGTTTAGTATATGGTTTATGCATCAACACTGAAAAAGTATCGTCAAAATTGTTCAATCTAATTAAAAAATGGGCTATTTAAATTTTATTATTTGTATGTGCTACATTTTTAAGGCTGGTAACATTGCAATGTAAACATGACGTTCTTGTCGATACTGAAAAGAATTGGTAAAATATTTCAATCTAGTAAAAAATGTACTATTTTATTTGTAAGCGCAATGTGTTTTTAAGGCTTCGAGTAAACATGACAACATGCTAATAGTAAAATCAACTGAAAGTGTTTCTCATGTAGTTCTCATATAGCCACATGCTAACATCAAACAGTTGTAATATAAATAGTTAAAAATGCACTATTTAATTCATAACTTGTTTGTACGGTGTATTTTATGATAATTTAAGTTTTGTCCTGATAGCTTACTAGCATGCTATCATCAAACTCTTCCAGAATCGGCTGAAAGTTCGGTCATTCTTGCATTTAGCATCTATGCTGAAGCAATTTGATAAAATACTACAACGGAATTAAAAATGGTTTATTTTATTCCTTCGTATGCTTTCGCCGGCGTCGCTAACGCCATGCTAAAATAAAATCGACTGGAAGTGCCATTTCTCCTAGTTCTCATGAGCATTGCTATTTAGGCACATGCTAGCATCAAACTATTGGAATATAATTAGTTTAAAAATGATATTTTATAAACTTGTCGATACAGTTGCATGATTCCAGCAGTTCTCGTAGATATAGTGCCGTTTAGCATTGATACTGCAAAGAATTGATAAAGTGGTTAAATCTAATTGGGCTATTTTTAAGGGTAGCCTACTACAATGTAAACATGACAACATGCTAATCATTCGATTAGCAGTATGCTAATGCCAAACTTTACTGAAGGTGCGTCCCAAATCGCGTACTTGTGCTCTACTCTATGCCATTTTGTAGTATAAATAGTGCGAGTAGAGCGTTCACAATACACAAATACCCGGATGAACTTATTTAAAACGAAAAAACGAAGTGTGGAACGGTGGACACTTCATGCCCTCGACTGTCGCAGCTTTAATTACGTAGCGGAGGGGGAGGGGCTATCAGACTCCGATGTTGAAAGACAAAATAAACGTATAAAGTTCATACATACATGGTTGAATACATAGTGCAAGTACATAGTGTATAAGTGCATTATTTGGGACACATTGAGTCAATTCCCATGTGTAGTGTTCTTTTGTTCACCTGACATGTGAAGTTGCTGCCTATGAAGTGCACTACAAATAAGTCACTTAAGAGATTTGGCTGCCCATGTTGGCAGTCGATACCATGACGGCTCACTAGCGTTTTGGAACAGAGCTTGAGAGAATCTACTAACTCGCATTACGACATGAAAGCGAGAGCGGCGCGCCGCTGTGTCTGTATCTGCTGCCTCGGAGCCTGTGGCACATACACGCTATGCTGGGTATTACCCACAATCCCCTGCTCTCTAGCAGGAGCTCTACCGCTTGCTGTGGGTTGGTCAAACATGTAATGCATCTCTCCACACACACACACACACACACATATTCTGACAGATACCTCTTGTCAGGGGGGGTTTCTTGACTGGGCGGTACTTCCTGTAGGTCTGGAAGATTGGCAAAGTCGTCATGCTCGGCCAATCCGATCGCGAGAGAGAGAACCACCATTTTTCCTTCCCTTCACCAAGAAAATGAGACACAAAACAGAGAGAGAGCAGAAAGAGAGACCAGTAAAGTGCAGAGAGGAAGAGTCGAGAGCGAGAGGAAACACAAGAACAAGAAACTGTTATTATGCAGCAGATAATATTAGTGTTGAGTTGAGCATATCAGCCCCGTTCCTCAGACCGCACCGCACATGTTCTGTTTTACAGCGGCTGATTCGTCAATATGCACTCATTTGCATTTTGCATGTTAACTTTGGTTGTATCTCAATGGCAAACCTGTGCTTACCAATACAAGTAGAGTTAAAGTCGGCATGAAACGGTGTTACAAATGCAGGTATTCGAATCGAAAATGTGTGAAATACAAATTCTCCAGTCATTCCCGTCGCGTTTAGAGCTGATCTTGATGAAAACAGGCCCGTAAACACTCAAACTCACATTCTCTCGCACACACACATTGATTTACTGTCCTCGTCACTCAACACATTCACCGTCTCCCTCGTTCACTGGTGTTTTCATCCTTCTCTCTTCTCTCTCTCTCTCTCTCTCCTCAGCCTTAATTGAGGCCCGTTAGAGAGATCTGGACTAATTGTTTCTATTTGAGAGTGCAGAGAGTGTGTGTGTGTGAGGTGTCGGCACTGAGCTGCTGCTTTCTGGGTCACTGCTCACCCTCTATCTCCTCTCCTCTTCTCTTCTCTTTCTTACATTCTTCAATTTTCTCTCTACTTACAAATCCCCCTCATCTCTGAGCCTGGACCTTTCTCTAATATCCTGCTATTAAACTCCTCTTAAACAGCTTTTGAAAGCTTTCATCTGTCCCTCCTGATCTTAAAGGAACAGTTCACATGAAAATTATTAGGTTCACAAACACAAATAGTTACAAACCAATATTATATGTGTACTGTATGTGTGTGTGCAAATTATAAATATACATAAATAATACATTTAACTATCATATACACTCACCTAAAGGATTATTAGGAACACCATACTAATACTGTGTTTGACCCCCTTTCGCCTTCAGAACTGCCTTAATTCTACGTGGCATTGATTCAACAAGGTGCTGAAAGCATTCTGTAGAAATGTTGGCCCATATTGATAGGATAGCATCTTGCAGTTGATGGAGATTTGTGGGATGCACATCCAGGGCACGAAGCTCCCGTTCCACCACATCCCAAAGATGCTCTATTGGGTTGAGATCTGGTGACTGTGGGGGCCATTTTAGTACAGTGAACTCATTGTCATGTTCAAGAAACCAATTTGAAATGATTCGAGCTTTGTGACATGGTGCATTCTCCTGCTGGAAGTAGCCATCAGAGGATGGGTACATGGTGGCCATAAAGGGATGGACATGGTCAGAAACAATGCTCAGGTAGGCCGTGGCATTTAAACGATGCCCAATTGGCACTAAGGGGCCTAAAGTGTGCCAAGAAAACATCCCCCACACCATTACACCACCACCACCAGCCTGCACAGTGGTAACAAGGCATGATGGATCCATGTTCTCATTCTGTTTACGCCAAATTCTGACTCTACCATCTGAATGTCTCAACAGAAATGGAGACTCAATCAGACCAGGCAACATTTTTCCAGTCTTCAACTGTCCAATTTTGGTGAGCTCTTGCAAATTGTAGCCTCTTTTTCCTATTTGTAGTGGAGATGAGTGGTGCCCGGTGGGGTCTTCTGCTGTTGTAGCCCATCCGCCTCAAGGTTGTGCGTGTTGTGGCTTCACAAATGCTTTGCTGCATACCTCGGTTGTAACGGGTGGTTATTTCAGTCAAAGTTGCTCTTCTATAAGCTTGAATCAGTCGGCCCATTCTCCTCTGACCTCTAGCATCAACAAGGCATTTTCGCCCACAGGACTGCCGCATACTAGATGTTTTTCCCTTTTCACACCATTCTTTGTAAACCCTAGAAATGGTTGTGCGTGAAAATCCCAGTAACTGACCAGATTGTGAAATACTCAGACTGGCCCGTCTGGCACCAACAACCATGCCACGCTCAAAATTGCTTAAATCACCTTTCTTTCCCATTCTGACATTCAGTTTGGAGTTCAGGAGATTGTCTTGACCAGGACCACATCCCTAAATGCATTGAAGCAACTGCCATGTGATTGGTTGATTAGATAATTGCATTAATGAGAAATTGAACGAGTGTTCCAAATAATCCTTTAGGTGAGTGTACAGTATATATGAATAATAAATTTTGGAATTTTATATAATTAGTTGTTTTATATATATATTAAACATTGAATATTCAAATGTGAATGTTGTGCAATTAAAAATTTCTCTATTTAATTTCTTTTCTTTTCATACAGACAATATACATACGTATTACAAACGTACAATATATATTTACACACACACACACACACACACACACACACACACACACACACACACACACACACACAAAGATATATACATATGAAATTCATCTGTCATCATAAATGTCATCTTTATCAAATCACAGAATTTTCAATTTTTATATTGTAAATTATGCTTTTAATGTGTTATTTTTGATGAATAAAATACTTCATTAAATCATTTTGGGATTAATTTTGGGACGAAATTTAATTCCATCTTTGAAATATCGCTTTATGTTCCACAGAAAAACAACAACAGCAAGCGGGTTTGAAACGACATGAAAGTGAGTAAAGGGTGACAGTATTTTCATTTTCAGGTGAACTGTTCCTTTAAATTCTAACCTCGTCATATGGCATTATGCTCTCTCTCTTCACTTCCTTTCCTTCTCCTCGTATCTAAAGTGGTTTTAATACTCTCTAACCCCCCTCCACTTCCCCAACTTCCATTTCTTCCCTCTCTCTCCTGCTGTAAATCCATCCATTCCTTCATATTCTCTTGGGCTTCCCTCCATTTTGGCCCACTCCGGCTATTTTTGCCTTTCAGAATTTAATGGCTGCAAAAAATAGCTCCTGGCTGGAGCGACTACACACTCGCACACGCACAACACATACTCATGTGCGCACAACAGACAGGAATCATTATTGTCAAAGCAATAAAAAGAAGCACTTTTCCGGTGAAAGCCGGACGGCGAATGTTCTGGGATGTTAACAGGACCGTCGCTGACCACTGATAACACACCAACAACCCTCAATTACACCCCACCTCCCCCTTCCTCACGCCTTCCCTTTCTTCTTCTCTTTTTCTGTCTCTATATCAGACCCGAGGCCATGTATGTGTGTCAATGACATCCCCCTTTAACCAGCGGAGATGAAATATTTAGTCTTCCCAGCATAAACGGAACACGGATGTTTTCTAACTGGCTTTCTTCCATACTATTTTTGCAGTATGAACATTGTTCACAGTTTGTGAATTCTGTATGCATGAAATTACCAGAGAAATACACCATTTGCAAAATGGGAAGTATGCAAACCTCCTCAATACAATGCATTTAACTTGACTTTATATTTGAACTCTATGTTTCAATCCGGCTATTTTTAAGCGAATTTTAGGAAATCGGATGGAAAGGATGCTGGATGGTAATGCAAAGATGCTAAATGTGTAGGATTTTCTTTAAGCCGATGTGCGTAAACTACGACGGAAACACATTCACCGAATAAATCCCTCGAAGCGCAACAAAAACTCAGGTGACTTTGCCTCGACAGAGGATGTGATTGGATATGTGGACTAACCAGCGGACCAATCGCATCACAGCATCTCAAATGTTGATTTGGTCGTTCTAAAATGCCTGAACCAAAGTCTGCAATCAGGAGGATTTGGTTTAATTCTCTCAGAAGCGTCTCACACGATTGCATTTCCACACACCAGGCACAAGAGAACATGACAGCGTTTATTTACACCCGGCTGGGGGACTACCGATGAAAATTAGCACTTTTGAGCTAACTCGGGTACATTTACATTGTTTTAATGTTGATTAACGTACACTCACTGTCCCCTTTCAAATAAAGAGAAAATGAAAATGAAAATTGCTTTGTTTTATTTAGTCATTTATGATGTACGAAAAAGAGCCACAGTGGCTTCCCCGATTGCAGCAACTTCCATTTTTATTACAGATATTGTGCACCAAATTTCTAGGAAGTGACGATTTTGTTCTGTTGAACACATGATGGGATGGAAGCGGTGCTTTATTCGCAAGTGTTTATGCGATATTCCCATTTTCCGCATAAGTTAAATTCGCAACTTTGGCTACTGACTCTATTTCGTCTCTTTCTCCAGTTCATTATTTGATCAAACTCCCAAAATTTGAGTAAAAAAGTGAAATAATCTGGTTTAGTTTATGAGGTGAGCACTCATGCTTAATTAAACATGCAATGCAGTCCTTTCATGTGATGAGAATATAGCATACTAGTTTGAAACATTTAACAATGCATACTGTATAGTACTGTATTAAAGGAGAACTCCGGTCAATTTTAACATTGAGCTCATTTTTTTGTACATTTGGAGTGCTGTCAGTACAGACAAAAACGACAAAAATCGGTGTTGCCTACACCGTGTTATCCTCTTTTTAAAATTCGCACCCTGTTGACTTCAATGGGGCAAGTTCTAAACCTGCTTTTAGCCTCTTAACATCCTTGATTTGTCATTACAAGTGCACAGCCATGTGAGTGGTGTTATTAAGAGTGACCACGGTCAATCTGACTGCAGTAGATCTGAAAGATATTAATAAAAATGATGTTAATTCAGCCAGCTCACATACCTGTATTTACTTCCTGTTTTCGTTCGAAGTCCACAGTAGTCGATTGTCGAGTTCGCGCGCGCGCGATCATCAATGATCAATGATTCAAATTTTTGTACTCTTATTATTGTACTCAAATAATTTCTACTCTGTACTGACAGCACTCCAAATGTACAAAAAAATGAGCTCAATGTTAAAATTGACCGGAGTTCTCCTTTAACAGTTATCAATACTGGAAATGGAAGGACAAATGTAGTAGGTCATCCGTTATTCAATGCATACAGTGTGCATAAAAAATGTAATGCATACTAAATCTGCATACTGTGCACAGCAAACTGCAGCAATAGTATAGTATGCT